TATATATATATATATATATATGCATATAATAATAATAATAATTTTATAGTTATAGCTCTGAGATCTGCACTCCATGGAACTTGATGTTCTCCACTCTCTCCACTGTGTAGCCACTAATACTAAGGGGGGCATACTTATATCGTGACATACGAAAGTCCGTGACCATCTCTTTAGTTTTCTCCACATAAAGCAACAGATTGTTCTCCTTGCACCAACCCTCTAGATGTTTAAATTTATCTCTGTACACTGATTCCTCATTTCCATGTATGGCCCCCAACAACGTGGTGTCATCTGCAGACTTGAAAATCTGGTTCCCTTCAAATATGGCAACATAGTTGTGTGATAGCAGCATGAATAGCAGTGGGCTGAGAACACAGCCTTGAAGGTATCGAGTGCTCAGTGGAATGGAATTGGAGGGGGTTCTTATCAACATAAATAGTCTCTCGCAATCTCTGTCAGAAAGACCAAGATCCATAGACATGAGGCATTGTCCAGGCCAATCAGGTGGAGTTTCTCCATTAGTCCCGATGTATGCTCAATAATCCAGGTATATGACTCTTAACAAGGTTGAGTCAGGTCCTCTGGATGGATTCTTCTTTGTTGAAACATTTCGTCTTTTGTCCAAAAGACTTCTTCAGTCTGAGGAGCTGCAAGCAAACTGTCTTATAAACAGCACCTTCTCATGGCTCAACCAGTTTAAGTTGTCCATCGTTAAACAGGAGCGGGGGCCTCCGTGTTCAACTGTCCCACTCTTACATTGCTGTTATTGTATTACTCAGCCCTCTGTGAATAGCAAGCAGCTATCAGGGCACTGAGGATTGTTCATTAGACTGATTGTCCTTCCATTGCATGAACAACTACAGATAGTTTTGGTTGTCACCAGCAAACTGGTTGGTCCGCTATGAGAAGGTGCTGCTTATAAGACTGAGTTTGTTGCAGCTCCTCTGACTGAAGAAGTCTTCTGGATAAAAGCCAAAATGTTTCAACAAAGAAGAATCTGTCCAGAGGACCTGACTCAACCATGTTAGATTTCTCCATTAGTCTCTGGGGGACGATGGTATTAAACACTGAGCTGAAATCATTATACAGAATTCTGGCATAGGTTGGCAATTGTACTCAGGATGAGTGATGACTTGGTGCAAGATGGTGGATATTGCATTCTCAGACAAGCAGTTTGGAAGCTGGGCAAACTGAAATGTGTCAATGTGTTCAGTGAGGACTGAACTAGGCAAAAGGGCCTTCTCCTACTCCGCTCCTGTATACTGGAACAGCTTGCAAAAAGATCTGAATCTCTCGACATTAACTTCTCTAAGTGACTTTAAACAGCTGCTAAGTTCATGGCAAAAACCAATGCAGATAGTATTTTACATTGCTTTATGATGTAACTGTTTTTGTTTCAGATTTTTTTTATATCATGTCTTCCATTTACTATTTCATTTTATATGCTTTTTTATGATTGTCTACTATTGTCATCTGTGTTCTTTGTTTAAAACAGGTATTTCTTGTCAATGAGTCCTCGAGGCTTAATGAGACTAACTTGTATAAAGGTTGAATTGAATTGAAAATTGTTTATAGACAGGATACAACTGCATTTTTAGCCATTGGGACTATGGTGGATGTTTTGAAGCACCAAGGAATAATAAATGACTGAGGGAGATGTTAAATATGTCAGTCAGAACATCAGTCAGTCCTTCAGCACAGTCTCTGAGAACTTGTCCTAGGACATTGTTTGGACCTGCTGCTTTTTTGGGGTTGACCTCGCTAAGGTCAATGTCTGTCTTCTGAAAATTTTTAAAAACTGGTCTGACAGGCAGTAAAGAAGGTCATGCCCTTGTTAGATTCAATACTTCAGACTGTGTGCAAAGAAGCAGTTGAGCCAATGTGAAAGAGAGAGATCGTCTTGATAGGTTTAGTTTGTTTTGTGCAAGGTTTAATTTGAGGTGGGTAGGATGCTTGAGAGAAGCAGAGCGTGCTCTATTCACACAAGGCTAGAGCTGTTGGTCAGGCTACTTTTGTTGCTCTCTAAAATAGTTGTTGATTCAAGTATTTACAAATGTAGATGTTTAACAACCAGAATTCACCAGAATGCATGAAATGACATCTACTTAATTCAGAATTTCTAGGGATGGGCTCCCAGACCCTGGCATCGTTTGGTTTACAAATTAAGGACTTGTTTTGCAGTTTTAATCTCCGTTAAGAGCACTGACTACCCTGAATAGAGAGCTACCTTGACCTCTGCCCTGAAGGCTGCATCTCTGGCTGTCAGCAGCTTATACACCTCTGTAGTCATCTGGGGTTTATGTTTCCCCTGTGCTGTGGATGTTTTGACTACAGTGACATCCTCTGTACACTTGTGACATCCTCTGTATACTTTGCAATGCAGCTAGTTACTGTCTCAACATACTCCTCTTTATATCATCTCTCCCTGGGATGCTGCTGCCTTGATAATCTCCCAGTCATTGTGTCTGAATCAGTACTGAAGTGTAGAGACTGTACCCTCCGGTCAGATCCCAACTTGTTTTGTCGCTGGCCTACTGCACTTCAGAAGGGGTTTGTAAGCAGGCACCAACATGACAGAAAGGTGATTGGGGGGGGGGGGGGGGGGGGAGTAACCTTGTGTGCACCTGGAGTGTTTGTACACACCATGTTCCAAATCTTCTCTCCCCTGGTTTTAAAATTCACAAACTGTTGAACTTGGGGAGCACAGACGTTAGGGTTGGTGAGATTAAAGTCTCCAGCCATTGCAACAAAGCTGCCTCTGTGTTAATTCATAAGCTCACTGATGGCATCCTGTATCTCTCCCACTGCCTTTTTGGCATTAGTTTTAGTTGTGGCACTGAGAGGAATGTAAACAGCAGCTACTATCACTTCTCTCGGCAGATAGAATGGCTTGCATTTCACAACGAGGAACACTACAACTGAGAGCAGGGTTTTGTGGCTAACATGGCCTTAACACACCAGTCCTTTTTATGTAAATGCACAGTCCTCCACCCTGCTTCTTACTGGAATTAGCTGCATCTCTGTCTGCCCAGAATGATGCCATCCCCTACAGCTGAATGGTCTAGTCTGGTATTTTGTCATGGAGTCAATGTCGCTGTAAAAACTAACACACAACACTCTCTCCACACTCTGCAGGTGGCTTTTAACAGGCATGGTTTATCCAATTTGTTTATCCAGTGGAAAGCGTGGACTTGTTATTGCAGGTACATGATGAGAGTGTGGCTCGATCATATTGATAAAAGCAAGCGTGGCAGCAGGATGTAATGTGCCCATAGCAGCCGAAAATATTCCAGTAATGTACTTTGAGTGTTGCCAGCTCAGTGTTGGCGTGATGCAACCACAGCTATGCATGACCCATGATGCCAGTCCCTGTATACATGTATTAAGGTATTTTTAACATTTATGTAAAAATCTATAATATTAATTATCATTGAAACTTATCAGAGTCAGAGATTCTTTATTGTCATTCGCACCTCATGTGGTACATGTGGTGGAGTGAAATTATGTACACAGGGTCCCAGTTACATCCAACAATAAAATGTAAAAGAAAAACAATGATAACATTTAAGATATGAACAAAGAAAAACATAAACTAAAAATACACTAAGCACTAATAGCATAAAAACATTACGTCGAACATCAGCACAAACATGAAAATGAGTCTGTGTAAGCAGATGAGCATGCATGAACACATCAACATCGTAACAGATCAGCAGCAACATTGAAACAGATCAGCAGCAACATGATGTGATTTTTCACAGTGATTATTCTGGTTAGGGATTCATGAGTCTAACAGCCTCAGGGTAGAATCTGTTCCTCAGTCTCGTGGTTCTACACTTAATGCTCCTCAACCTCCTTCCTGAGGGGAGTGGGGCAAAAAGTGTGTGTGCTGGGTGAGTGGGGTCCTTCATGATGCAGGTGGCCCTCTTCCTGCATCTGGAGGTGTAGATGTCTGTGATGGTGGGGAGACTGACTCCAACAGTCTTCTTTGCAGCCTTCACCACTCTCTGCAAAGCTTTTCTTTCTGCAGCTGTGCAGCCTCCATGCCACATGTTGATGCTGGAGCACAGGATGCTCTCCACTGCACACCTGTAGAAGGAGGTGAGGACTGAGCTTCCCAGACCAGCTCGTCTCAGCCGCCTGAGGAAGTAGAGTCTCTGATGAGCTTTCTTGATCAGGCTGGTGGTGTTGTTGCTCCAGCTGAGGTTGTCGTTCATGTGTGCACCCAAGTACTTGTAGCTGGAGACCACTTCCGCTGCAGATCCTCTTATGTTCAGGGGGGTGTAGGTGTGTTTGTTCCTTCTGAAGTCCATAATCATCTCCTTTGTCTTCTTCACATTGATGTGAATGTTATTCTCTTTGCACCAACTCTCCAGGTGTTCCACCTCTTGCCTGTAGCTGGACTCATCATTGTTTGTGATGCATCCCACCACCGCTGTATCATCTGCAAACTTTACAATGTGACAACCTGGATGGGTAGCTGCACAATCATATGTGAGCAGAGTAAACAGGAGGGGGCTCAACACACATCCCTGAGGAGAGCCAGTGCTGAGGGTTATGGTGGAGGAGAAGTTGTGGATCCTCACTAACTGTGGTCTGTTTGTTAAGAAGTCTACTATCCAGTTGCAAATGGAGGGGCTTAGTCCTAGTGTGAATAGTTTGTCCATCAGGGTTTGGGGGATCATGGTGCTGAAGGCGGATGTGAAGTCCACAAAGAGCATACGGACGTTAGAGTCTTTCTGCTCCAGGTGGTTGAACGCAGTGTGGACCACAGAGGAGATGGCATCCTCTGTTGATCGGTTCTCACGGTATGCATACTGATGAGGGTCCTCGTTGATGTTGATGGTTGTTTTGATGTGAGTCATGACCAGTTTTTCAAAGCATTTAGCGACTATCGGGGTGAGGTCAACTGGCCGATAGTCATTCAGACCAGTCGCTGTACAGCATTTTGGGACTGGGATGATGGTGGCAGTCTTCAGGCAGGTGGGAACTGTCTCCAGGGTAAGCTAAGTGTTAAAGATGTCTGCCAGCACCTCGCAGAGCTGATCAGCACATTCCTTCAACACTTTTCCAGGGATGTTGTCTGGGCCCGTTGCCTTGTGCGGATTAATACTCCTGAAAGTACTCCTTACTTCAGCTGAGGTCACGCTGAGATGCTCTTCATCCGGTGGTGAGGTGAGTCTGGTGCTGGGTGGTCTATTCGGGTCTTCAAAGCGTGCATAGAACTTGTTGAGGGCATCAGGCAGAGATGGGTCTTTGGGTCATTGTTTGCTCCTTCCTTTATAATCTTTTATGCACTTAATGCCCCTCCACATGCTCCGAGGGTCTTGTGAGATGAATTGACCCTATCAAAATAATCCTATCAAATAACCCTATCAAAATAATAATAAATTGTCAAAATAATTTAACTACGTTAACTGCAATTTATCACCATTTGTGACTAAAATGTGGCTGGATTTAAAATTGAAGTCTGACATTTTAAACTAAAGCTAAAATAACAACATTTGGACTTACTGAATTGTTTTTCTCGGCATCCAGTCATAGCAAAACTTAATTCTTGCTGCTTCAGTAAGACATCATTCATTCAACCTTTATGTATACAGGTTAATTCTACTGAGCCTTGGGGACTCATTTACAAGAGAGACCTGATCAACCTTAACCAAAGTCATTTGGCAACAATAATAATAAAACATTGTATTTTTTTGCATGCAGAGTTATCTCAACAAGATTAAAAAAACTGTTTAAAAACTTAGGAGGAAATAAAGGTCATACATTTGCTGTAATCTAAGGGACATATCTTTTGGGAAGCAAATTGTCTTTATTTCCTGCAGAGATATATGAATCTCAAGCATAATGATGGTCAGACCAACCATCACTCCTTCTTCTTCTTCTTCTTTCGACTTTTCCCTCTCCAGGGGTCGCCACAGCGAGTCATCCTCCTCCACCTCACTCTGTTCTCTGCATCCTCTGTCCTCACCCCAACTACTTTCATGTCCTCTCTAACTGCATCCATATTTCTCCTCTTTGTCTTTTTCCTGGCAGCTGCATTTCTAACATCCTTCTACCAATATACTCATGTTCCCTCCACTTGACATGTCCAAACCATCTCAGTCTGGACTCCCTAACTTTATCTCCCAGTTGTTAAACCTGTGCTGTACCTCTGATGGTCTCATTCCTAATCTTATCCAGCCTTGTCACTCCTAAGGAGAACCTTAGCATCTTCATTTCTGCCACTTCCAGTTCTTTCTCCTGTCTTTTTGTCATTGCCACTGTCTCCAGACCATACAATATTGCTGATCTCACCACTGTCTTGTAAACTTTTCCTTTGACCTTTGCTGACACCTTTTTGTAGACCAATCATCACTCCAACACTGAAAAATGACAGCTGAGTCACAACAATATACAGTCTTTGTAATCATTTCATTTACGTTTGAGTTGAAATAAAGTCAGTGGTTGATATGATGTAGGGTTGTGTATATATCTTAATAGTTACCTTTTTAGCTTCAGGAATTATCAGTATCATTTGTTAAGCTAAAACCTAACTAAAAGTCACTAATTAACTAAATGTATATGTCCTCTATTAATCTGTACTTCCTGTGTTTTAGGATCGAATCTACTGGACAGACAGAGACAAGGCAGCAGTTTTTATGGCAAATAGACTGACCGGTCAAGATGTCCAAGCTCTGGCTGAAAACCTCAATGACCCCCATGACATTGTGGTTTTCCACCAGCTCCGACAACCACAAGGTTTGTATACATGCGGGTCACACTCTCTGTTGTGGCTTTAATGTGATATCACCTCACCTTTGTGTGACGGGTTATTAACCTTTATGACAAAGTTTCTTCAGTGTTACCGTGCCAATCCAGAGTCATGGTCAGTGCCCTGAGACGACTTCTGTTGTGACTTGGCACTCTATAAAAAAACTGAATTGAATTGAATTGAACCTTTTTGATTAAAACACTCAAAGCTCAGCGACAGTAGGATGTTCAAACATCAGTCGCAATCCAGGGTTGTCTAACAGTTCCATCCAGCCAACCATAATTCTGAATTGTATGTGTGATGTGTTTTCTTTCTTATGGTTGGTGTTCGTAATAAATGAATGAAGGAATTTAATGAATTTACTTATAAAATAGTGCATTTACAATACAAAACAAAGCAAACAAAAATTGAATAAGCTGAAGATCAAACTTTTTTGTCTATACCATGGCCTATTTAAAATTTTATAAAGAAGATCAATACGCAATACGATACACACAATACAATATACAATAAACCGATCTTAAAGACCTCAGTCTTCACATACTGATTATTATCATCCTAACTCGATGACTTGATTTCAATGATGAAACACCACAAAATCCCATAAATGTCATTTAATTTTCATTGTTATATAACTTAATAACATCAAATCATTTTTTCCAAACATCTATTAACTTTTTACTGTTCTTATTAATGGGGTCAGTGCAGTGTCTGAAGTATTGCTGACTCTGTGCTGGTCCGATGATGAAGAGGAAGCTGAGCTGTAAGGTGAAGCTCTCTGTTTACTGGTCTGTCTACGTTCCTACCATCACCTATGGTCACAAACTCTGGGAAGTGACAGAAAGAATAGATCACGGATAAAAGTGGTTGAAATGAGTTTCCCCCACAGGGTAGCTGGCCTCTCAATAGGGTGAGGAGTTCAGTTATCCAGGAGAGACTCAGAGTAGAACTGCTGCTCCTCCACATCAAGAGGAGCCAGTTGAGGTGGTTTGGGCATCTGGTAAGGATGCTCCCTGGGCACCTCTCTAGGGAGTTGCTCCGGACATGTCTGACTGGAAGGAGACCCCAGGGAAGACCCAGAACACACTGGAGGGACTATGTCTCTCTGTTGGCCTGGGAACTCCTTGGGGTCCTTCCAGAAGAGCTGGAAGAGGTGGCTGTGGAAAGAGATGTAAGGGCCTCCCTGCTCAAGCTGCTGCCCCCACAACCCAACTCCAGAACAAGCTGAAGATAATGGAGAGATAGATGGATACTCTTACTAATCCTTTTCTAACAATCCCTGTACTAAATATGTAATGATAATCTCCAAACATTTTATGTTTTAACATAGAAGTTACAAAATATCCATCCATTATCTTTTACCCGCTTCTTCCATTTTGGGTCACGGGGGTCGCCAGTGCCCATGTCCAGCAATCACTGTGCGAGGGGCGGGGTACACCCTGGACAGGTCTCAAGTCCATCACAGGGACACATAGAGACAAACAACCATTCACTCTCTCACTCAAACCTAGGGACAATTTAGAGTTAATTTTCAAAAAATAAATAATTTAAATTTTATATAACTTTTGTCCCAATAATCAGCTTTGTGAAATACCACATCTTCTTTAGGTTGTTTTTAATTTTATTTTCTTACAACTGGATTTTTATATTTTCCTGACTGCATTTACAATTCAGTCATTGTGCATTATTAGTTCTGGGAATTTACAAAAATAACAACAACAAGAAAGAAAAATCAATGGGTCTTAAAAGTTAGTCTCTAAAAACATTTAAAACTCTTAGAGATTTGATTTCAGAATGTTTAAAGACTGAGGTTACAAGTGTGCCACACAAGTTTGATCAGAATATCTAATTAATCCATCCAGTCTTCATTCAGACCACTAATATCTACTTTGTATCCTTTCATGTTCAGATTGCTTTGGGACCCATGAAAACATTACTTCTAAACAGCTTCAATAACAGGGTGGAGCTGTATGTAACAAAGTTAAATTAAAGTATTGTTAGTGACAACACAGTTGTATGTGTTGTCAATTGTCCTGTCTAAATAAAGGTTGAATGAATGAAAATTATATTTCTAAATTTGCTTTCACAAAATAAGACTGCTGAAAGATTTCAGCAGTTTTCATAGTGGGAAGAATGAATTCTGACAATTCATATGTGTCTCTAAATCTGTCACCTCCCTGTGTATTTTAACCACAGCTGTGCAATTCTCCATGTCTTTATGTTTCTCTGTGTTACTGTTTCCAGGCCCTGACAGCTGCAATCTGGGCATTGTAGCCAATGGAGGCTGCGAGTATTTGTGTTTGAAAGCACCACAAATCACAGAGCACTCGCCAAAATACACCTGTGCCTGTCCAAACGGACAGGATCTGGGCCCCGACATGAGGGGCTGTGTGCCAGGTAAACTTGTTTATAAGTTTCTAATTGAAGATACTGTGTATATCATTTGTATGTGTGTAGAGAGCAGAGCATCGCATGACTGATGTTGTGATTGTTGAAGGAAGATTAACAGAGCGCTACGTTACTAATGCTAGGTTGAAACCACATATTCTATGGTGACCAGTCCCTGGAACAATGTCCACTCCACAACTGTTAGTGGAAGTGGTGGAGAGTGGGGGAGAGTGGGGGAGAGTTCAGTAGGCAGGGCGCTCGGTTCTGTTGACAGGGTGGGGCGCCCTACTTGGATAATGGTAAGGGAGACACTGGTACTACAGTTACCTCCCATAGCCCTTAAGGTTAATTGAAGATTTTAAATGGTTCCAGGTTTCAGTGTGAGCCCGAGTTAGGATAAGAACAATTAAGGATAGAACAATTGTCGCCTAAGGCAACAGAATTCATGCACAATCCATCACTGCACTGGCTCCCCTGCATGTACCCATATTCCCCCACTCAGGCCTCCAGCTAGGCCCTCACCCCACCGGGAGCTTCGAGTAGGGAGAGCAGTGTTTCCTCTACCATTATACAAGCGGGGCCCCCCGTCAACAGAACCGAGCGCCCCACCTACTGAACCGAACTGCGTGCACACCCCCACCTGTCGGCAATGAGATAGCGCATGAGTACAAACAGCGCGCAGCTCAGATGTGTCTCTGTCTCTTCCCCCCACCCCCTCGCTCGAAAACTGTTGGTGCAAACAGCGCACAGCTCAGACATGTTCTCCCCCACTACCTCCACCCGGTTGATAAAAAAGATGAACGTCCCGCCATGACAATTTATCTAGGGGAAACACTGGAGGGTATTATGTAGGCGATGTGCCCAGGGTTCCTGTCATGGTCCAAGTTTAGGTTTGGCAGTCGGGGTTAAGTTTAGGGTCAAAGGGTGGGGTTATGGTCAGGATTTGATTTAAAGACAAAGATCAGAGGGTTAGGTTTAGAGAAAAGGGTCCTGGGTTAGGTGTAGCAGTCTGGGTTAGATTTAGGGTTGGTTTAGGGTCAGGTCTCTGGGTTAGGTTTAGGGATAGAGTTAAGGACCAACAGAAGTGTTCTAATGGCCTGATGACCTGTCCAGTGTGCGCCCCGCCTCCCGTTCAGTGTTAGCGGCAGATGGAAACCTTCTCCCTGTGACACTAAAGGAGACATTTCACTGAGCTGTGACTTGTTGGTGAACAGTTATCATGAGGGAGTCTCCAGAATGTCTTGCAACAGTCGCTGGGCTTCTCAGATTTTTTCATGAGTGTGTCATCCTGTCACTTGATTTTGAACAAATTCAAAAGGTTTGTGCAAGAAATGTTCTTTCAAAATAATAACAGAGTACATGCAGGTGTCTCAAACTGATCTTGCACCCATCTGAGTTTTGTCACTGAATCTTGCTGCCTCAGGAGCACTACAACTTTTGACACATGCTTGAACACTCTTCTCTAACAGAAAATACTTGGAAAAAAAAAAGGTTTCCTTCATGCTGAGGTGCTTATGATGTGGGTGGAGGTGGATTTAAAAAAACAATGTGCAGTTTTGGAAGGTGTGCACATGAAAATAGGCTGTAATTTTTCAAAAACTGGTTGTGCAAAATATGTCCACATGGCTTGGTCAGTTGATCACAATTACTCAGAAATCAATAAAACAACAAAGAGAAATTAACTTATTTTCTTGCAATTTTCTTTCAATCAATTGAGTCAACTAGTCTCTCCCAGTTGCAGCCCAGTAATATACCACCTTAAACAGGATCATGCAGGTACAAAAAATGGATAAATGGACTGAGAGCAGTTCTGCTAATTTCGCAGATTCTACCTCACACAATGTAAAGTAAAATACATTTACTTTTACAAATGTAAATATAAATTTAATTTCATTTTAACAACCGTAAGACATTTTTCAATTTATACTAAACAAGAAACTTCTTATACAATTAAAGTGACAGTAGGTGATAGTTTGGCAAATTAGTACAGACATACAATTTTTGCCTCGTCAAACTATCTCTCTCTCATTTCTATGTAAATGAAAGTTTATAAATTATTTTGACAACAAGTTGCAATAAACAACTGAATTAAGTTCCTTACAATTTGTCTGTTTATGTGTGGACAGCACTAATCATTTCTTGATTTAGATACATTTTATGTTTGAATGAATTGTGAATGATTCAGCAAACCAAAGAAAATACAAAAATTCCTCTGAAAATAGGAACAAGGACTGAAAACAAGTGGGGAAAAAACAATGTTCAAAAACAAAAACTCCTGAAATTATATTTCTGAAAACAACTTGTAAAAATAAAATTTTAAAACGTTTTTTTTTTTCAGTTGCTTCCTTCTCAGGGGGTTGACACAGCAAACAAATATACACAAAAGTTGTGCCGATTGTGTTTCATCAGGGGCTTTTTCTAACGCAACCTGGGCTCAAACTGGCAGCTTTTGGATTACATGATTGTGGCTCTGACCACCAAGCTACAGCGACCCTTTAGAACACTCTGAGGATGTAAAATATTCAGAAAACAAGTGGTGTTTTAAAATTTTTGCGCAGTACTCTAGCGTTTTGGATAACTACATTAACATTGTTTGAACCCACTTATTTCCATTTCTCCATCTAAAACATAACTTTTGTCTCAGCAGCACCCAGAAATGACATGACAGCAACGTCTGTACCTCCCTCTGGATTTTCACCTGACACCAGAACAAATGTCCCTGAAGGCACCGCTCCGTCCTCAGGGGTATTGTCACTGGCCGATGCTGTCCCCCACTTGGCCACAGCTCCCTCTGCTCTCCCTGAGTCTTTCACGCTCCTCAACACACTGCAGCCTCTGTCATCACAGGAGTCTCTGGGCTCCCACTCCACAGACACATCCTTGGTCATCTCCACCACACCTGCCGGAGACAGCAGCATCTCACAACACTGTAAGTGGGGCGTGAACTGAAAATAACCTTGACAGGTCAAATCTGGAAGTGGATTCCTTAAAGCAAAATTGTCCTTCACAGTAAGATAAATAGATGTGGTGTATGATACAGGCTCATTTCTTTTTTAAGAAAAGGAAATGTCTGGTAGCAGGGTTTCACTGAGTCTGAATCACTTTGAGACTTATGTTTTACTCCTCCTCAGTCATTCATTGTGACCCTAAATGGGACATTGTCTCTAATTTTGTCTGCCTCCTAATCCCCATGCCATGTGTGGTTCTACTCATAATGCAGCCAACAGCTCCCCCTTACCTTTTTCGATAATGTTAATGTGAGGATTCTCACATAGGCAGCTGTACTCTCTTACTAAATAGCTTTTTTTTTTTTTCATTAATTGTGCTTTATGTGGGATGATTGGGTGTGGGGGCTGCATGTCTGGAAGAAATAAATGCTGCTTCTGTCCTGTATGTGTTGTTAGCTATGTTGAATGCAAATTATTCAAACATGATATTGTAACCATATAGAGAAAATAGACCTTTCTGGGTGGAGTGTGTATGTTCTCTTATTGCATGCATGGGTTTTCTTTGGGTACATGACATGATTTAACCTTTTTTGTTTTTCTCCGGGAACTCCAGTTTCATCCCACAGACCAAAAATATTCATGTTATGCTGATTGGTAACTCTAAATTGTCCCTAGGTGTGAGTAAGTGTGGTTGATTGCCTCTGTGTCCCTGTGATGGACTGGAGACCTGTCCAGGGTGTCCCCCGCCTCTCACACAGTGATGGCTGGACATGGGCACTAGTAGCCCTCGCAATCTGGAAAGGAAGAAGTGGATAAAGTTGATGGATGGATGGATGGATGGATGGATGGATGGATGGATGGATGGATGGATGGATGGATGGATGGATGGATATTATAAAATGTAGGCGTAGTGTTAAAGTTAGTACATGCAATGTTAGAATCAGAATCAGCTTTATTGTCATTGCACTGAATCACAACAAAATTACATTTCAGTCCAGCTCGTCTGAGAAAACATAAACAAACAGACATGGGGAGACGGAGGTGGCTGAGGCTGCGGCCTTTGAAAGGTGCTGCCCTTTTCGTTTAGATAAGAAAAAGATAAACACGAGGGGAGAGGAGCCATAAAATAAATCATATTTCACACTGTGTTCTTGATGGACAAAGTGTGAGAGTTGGAAATAAAAAGACCATACCAAAACAGCAACATACTGATGACACAGACATATCCATGTGGAGTGGGTGGGGGTGGGGGTGAGGGTCCCAGCAAAGGTTGTCCAGTGAGCGACACAGCCATTGGCGCCTTTGCATCTCATAGGTTGCTGCACTGGGGGGTGGGGGCAAAGCCAACGAAGGTGTGAATTTGAGGAAAACTAGTCCGTCAGCACTGTCCAGAGCACCCCCCACCCCCCAGCCATAGTCCTGAAAAGAGGTGGTGCAGTGTTTATCAGCTGGCTCGGTAGAGCTCTGAATCAGGTCCATGTCCCTGGGGAGTGGAACGGGGAGGGGAGGGGGGAAGCAGAGCATCTTGTTTCCATAACATCCAGGAGAAAATGAGATAGTTAACCTTCCAAAGTCAATGTGGGGGGAGCCAGATTCAGATATCAACATTTGTTTTGGGTCAGGCCGAGCTCTGTTAATTTCCATCTGCCTTTACAGTCTCGCTAGTACACCTCATGGTGACTCCAAACAGACAAATTGTGATTACATACATCGAGTTGAGCTTACAACTTCTCCAAGATCCATTCCTTCCCGCCATCGAGATTCAGGAGCCGCAAGTAGCTGCGATTCTCTGCAAGAGTCGCGCCCAGCTTACAGCTCGGCTCACGCAGCATTTGAGTCTGAGTGTTGCCAAGCATGACACATTCCTTCACACATGCCAGGCAGCTTAACAATGGCCAGAGCAGCTGCTGATGTTTTCCGAATTTGTCGGTAAGCCAGGTAACCACCAATCCCTAAAAGCAGAATCCTGTTATCATAAATCCTATTATGTACATGCAGGAGGACTCTCCCTCTCCCTGTCTTCTTGAAAAAAAATTTGATCAATTGCGTTGAGAGACCAGCCGACCAGATCCATTGTTTACAATTTGGAATATATGCAAAAAGAGGCTCTGAAAAAGGTTCACAGGACAAAGAGCATTGCAGGGATGGAGCAGGAGGAAGAAGTGTCTGCCTTCACCAAGGGCAAGCAGAAAAAGAAGTGTTGCATTTACTACATCTTTCATTTAATCTTGCTTTTTTTCCTCCATCATTCATAAAGCTGTCTCTCTTTGTAAAACACTTTTACAAATTACATTTTTCCACTCACTGAGTTTCTTCTGGTGATATAAAGGAAATCAAAACAACGCTGGACTATACAGGCATGGTCGCTTTTTCTCTCTCCATCTTTCTCATAAAGATGATCATCCTCTCACTAACATCTTCTAACTGCTCTTTTCAGCTGGAAGCGAGAATTTCCTCCTTGGTGAGAACCTGACCGTGGCTGTTCTGGGAGTGGTCATTCCTATTGGTAAGCCACCTGCAGCATCCTATTCTGTGTTTGTCGTTTCACAACAAAAGCCTGTAGTGCTACAGCTGGTTACCTGCAGCCTCTGACCACAGTTCATGTCCATCAACACTAATCTTCTTTTGCTGTGAACATGATGAAAGAAGGCGTCTTCACTGAATCATGTTTTGTGCGTCTGACATTTCTGCCACTTTGCTACATCTTTCACCAAACACTGTTGTTGTTGTTGGGTCTGCTTTAGCAAGGACTTTTAGTCAGCAGTAGTTAGCATGCTGTAACAGTAAAGGTTATTTATTTAATCCTAAATTAGCAAAAAAACAAAAACAAATAGTTAATATTTTGGATTTCCACAAAAACTTGCTATTAGATTTAGTTAGCTTTAGCTACCTTTTGTTAAGCTAATTACACAATATTCTTGCGATAGTTCAGATCTTTTGAAATGAAGTTCAGTGGAAATATTTTGTGCAATTTATATCTTATCAGCTGTAGACAACTTTTTGAGGGTTTAATTCTAAATTGGATGAGTAGCTATCAACTGTATGAACGGAGCGAAGAACAAATGATTCCAGTTTATGCAAATAAGCTGTTCCACAGCCATCAGTTTCACAATACACAGTTATTCTAGCAAAAATATCTTTCTGCTGATATTCATGGATACCTCTGGAACCAAATAAACAGTTCTGTGTATTGTCAAGTCTTCAGTTTCATAAGAATGGTGGAAATAGAAAAATAGTTTTATTGTATTGTTCATTATGCAACATGTTTGTTTGTTTTTTCTTACTTAACTTGAAGTCCTATTTAAACACATTTGGTTATGAAAAATATACATATTTTACTAATTAATCAGTCTGTCTAGAAAATCTCATTATACATCCTGAATATGTGCCAAACTGAAATTGAACTAAGGGACAGTTCACTTCAGATGCTCTGTACTCATCATGCTTGTAGGAAAAGGCCAAACTGCTGACTGAGAAGAAAAGAGTGTAAATAAAGCTTAACATCCTAAACATTATTAATGTTAAATAATAGTAAAATACAATGTTTATTTGAGGCTATGAGATTGTATGGTGATGTTCATATTTTGCTCCCTGAGGATGCAAACGAACTAAACCTTAATGTTGATTATTGTTTAGTAAGAAATTTGTTAGTTTTCTTTGACCCAAACCGAGCCACCAACACAACCTTTACACTGCTGTCCCTCCCCCCTCTGTCCTCTGCATGCTTGTTGTTCTCCTCTCTGTGCCTCTCACCTCACTCATTGAACTCGTTATGCCTCGTTAACGCTCCCCCTTCCCATGTCCCCACCGCTGTGTGTTAAACGCATGCAGTTCCTATCGTTGCCACAGTGGTGTTTGGCCTGGTCTGCGCCGGAGTCTACCTGGTTTGGCGGAACTGGAGGCGCAACTCCACCAAGAGCATGAACTTTGACAACCCCGTCTACCGCAAAACCACCGGCGAGAGCGAGGAGGACGAGATTCACATTGGAAGGACTGACGCCATGGGGCACCACGTGCACCACCACCCGTTTCCTCAGGGAGTCAGCATGGGAGTTATAGGAGCTGGAGGCGCCACCTGCCCGCAGTTCATTGCCCTGCCACTAGGGGGAAGCATGCCCGATCCAGGGACTCACTGGTACACGGAGCAGCCCATGCTCTCCACGGCAAAGTGACCACCCACCCCACTCCCAGAGGCCACTGTTGGTGAAGACGGCATCTCAAGCACACAGTAAGGGCGGAGAAGGACTGGACAAGCTTAGGGAAGTGATGGACAACATATCAAGAAATGCAGCCATTCACAGCCATGTCGGAGGCCAAATTTGATTTAAAAAAATTAACTTCACTAAAAATTGTTCAGTAACATAATTGCTTAGAAAAGAAAACCATGCCTTTTACTGAGATGGAAATGGATCTATTTTTCCTCTAGAAAGTGCTGAGAGTTAATTACAACATAATTAATGTGTGCCAGTGTGCTCCTGACTTTGACCTACGCTTGAAATGGAGTTAAACTGGTTTGTTTATACCTTTTCTATTGAAATTTAAGTGAGATGTGTGTGTGTGTGTTACATTTAATGAATTGGTTGTTGGGAGGGTTTTTTTGTGTGTGTTTTTTATTTTGTCCATGACATATTAATTTAGGTGTTGAGTTATTCCTGGTTGGCAGTGGAGACATGGGACAGCTGCTGAGGAAGGAAGAGCTCTGAAACTGGAATAGGCCGAGTGCTGGTGAGACAATCTATACAGATTTGTGTTTGACTCAGTTACATACGTTGGTACTTGAGTTTTATTGTGTTGTAAACATTTTTGTTAATAAGTTTCTGTGGTTGAGAGGCGGGCCTTTCATGATTTGTTACCCAAGGCTCCATCTACACCACTTCAGATATTCTTACAAACAGATTTTCTTCTGTCCAGAGTTGTTGGTGACAAAAACACAAATTATATTTAAAAAAAGTCAGAAGACAATAAACTAAAATCATAGAACATTTAAAGACTAAATTAACTTATGCTGGCATAAATGTCAATGAGAACAAACTTGCTTTTACAAGAGATTTAGAAACAGGAAGTGAAGAGGCCTGTCTAATGTTGGAAGGCAAACTGTTCCAAAGTTTGTGAGCCACAATTGAAAAAGCTCCTCTGAGCATCAACCTAGTTTTTGAGACAACAAAAAGCAGCTAATCAGATGACCGTAGTGCAGAACCATAGGGTTGAAGTAAGTTGGAGAGATGCAGTGGTGCTAGGCCATTGAGGCCTTTAAAAATCAACAGGAAAAAAATTTAATCAATTCTGCAGCAGAGAGAACCAGTGAAATGAGGACAAGACAGGTGAAATGTGTTCAGATCTGTGGGTTCCAGTTAGGAGACAAGCAGCAGCATTTTGGCAAAGATGGAGACAGGAAATGGAGACCTGACTGACCCAATAAAGTGTGTTACAAAAGTCAAGTCAGGTTGTGGCAAAGGCATGGATTACTTTCTCTAGGTCAGGTCTGGTCAACACTGACTTCAGTTTTGCTATCTGCCTTAACTGGAAGAAGTTCTTTACAGAACAGAATTAATCTGCTTATTAAATTCATAATCAGAGTCTAGAATTATTCCCAGATTTCTAACAGAGTTCTTATGATACGGCTCCAGAGAGCCAATGTTTGCAGAAAGAATGCCAACAGCAGAGCTAGAGCTAAACACATCCTTAGTTTTCTCATCATTAAAGCTTAAAAAATGCTAAGCCATCCAAGCCTTAATAATAAATGGTAAATGGACTGTACTTATATAGTGTCTTTCTATCTTATCAAGACACTCAAAGCGCTTTACACTACTATCTGTGTCCTCATTTACTCATTCATACAGCACTCTACTAGATCTATACAAAGCTAATTAAACAAATCATTCTAAAGAGAGTAATCCATGCTTTATCACATTGATAAACCGATGGGACACACATCGCAGGCAATGAGGGGTTCAGTGTCTTGCCCAGGGACACTTAGGCTTGTGACTGCTGGTGGATTCAAACCCCCAACTTTTGCATTGGAGGACGACTGGTCTAACCACTCAGACACCCGCCCTAATGTCAAAAAGACATTTTAATGTTGGGTTGATGGAGCTAGAATTATTTAGTTTTCAAGGGTAGATGGCTCTGGCAATCATCAACATAACAAAGAACATAAATATGTTTTCTCAGAATAGACCCCAAAGGGAGCAGGTACAGTAAAAACAGAAGCTGCCCGAGAATCAAGCCCAGGGGAACCCCACAGGAAAAAGGTGCTGAAGAAGATAAAAAATTCCAACATTACCACAAAATCTTCTGTCACTCAGGTAGAACAGAATCAATCTATTGCTGCGCCTGAAACCCAAACCCATGTTCTAAACACAAAGTAAGAATACTGTAGTGAATAGTATCAAAAGGTCTAAGAGTACGAGGATCACAAAAAGTAACTCATAGAAGTTAGGTATAAGTTTTGAATAAGTTTCCAGCATGCTGATAAATGATGGCATAAGTTTGTTGTATGTCAGTGCCATCCAAAAATTGTGCACATGCACAAAATTGATAAGCTGATAAGTATGTAAGGTATATGACAGGTCAGTTCTGCATTAGTTCACACACGTAACATTTAAGTTACTCTTAGGTTGACATATGTCAGAAACCAGCTGCAAGTGTTCAAGTAACTTATTTCTAACCTATGAGCAACTTCTAACATACAGTATCTGTAACTTATATCAGACATTTCACAACCTATTGGAATAGAATAAAATTCTGTTATTGTTTTCAGATCAGAAAATTCAGAAACTCACAAACATTTTGAGACATTTTAGAGACTCCCTCACAAATGTTCACCAACTAGTCAGCAGCAGTCACAGCCCAGTGAGATACTCAACTAATAATGTGCTTTCTCTGTATTTTAGTATGTAAATTATTAGGACACTTTCAACACCTAGTGGCGCAGCATGGGTATTTCTGTTAGTGACAGAATAGTGTACAGACAAATAAAAATCTGTTTAAAGCTATATATCTGTAGCAGTGTACAGTTGGTGGAGCCTGATTCTTCACATTGGTCTCATTAGTCTGACATTTTTTTATTTACCCCATAACACCCAGCGTTTTAGACTGAAAACATTAACACACACGTTTGTCTTTTTCGACCAGAGAGAAGTTGAGGTTAGACAGAAATATAAGCTTTTCTCTTTTACTGTGACTTCAGATGTTGAATAGTTTGAGAAAAGCAATCGGCTGCAACTGTACCAGCCAGCTGAGGTGATCTGTGTTGACAGAATGCATGAGGCGTTCATTTCATTTGATGACCTGCGTGTGACTGTGACATATGCACACATAAACCCACGGGGGTGGCAAACTCCTTCTGTTCTCCAGAAGATGGGGGTGTTTGTACGACGGAGCTTTAGGACCACGCTAAGAAAATAAAATTAAAAGCCATAAAATTACGAGAATAAAGTCATACGAGACTTTTTGCAGCTCTCGTGGATTTTTTTTTCCATGAGTCGGCTCCACAACGTGACCTGTCAATCAATCCAGTAGGCGTGTCGGCAAATGACCAATCTGAAGCTAAATGAGTCATAATATTACCCATACTCCGACACGATAAAACAGGTTTACCACATTTTAACTGTGGTAAAATGAAGACTGTTGAGCATCTTGTTAAGTTATACTTTGGTATTGGTTTTACAAATAAGGAGATACTTCATCTGTATCAGCATCAGATTATTTTCAGTATCAGGACTTTGAACCTGCTTACAGTAAGGTGGTACGCTCTGATGGGCTGCAGCAGCTCTCTGCAGATAAGGAGCATTTAGCTTCGGATTGGTCGTTTGCTGACCCGCCTACTGAATTGATTGACAGGTCGTGTCATGGATCAGATTCATGGGAAAAAATAAATAAACGAGAGCTGGAAAAAAAAAGTCTCGTACGACTTTAATCTTGTAATATTAAGACTTTATTCGACTTTATTCTCATAATACTAGAACTTTATTCTTGTAATTTTATGCACTTTGATAACAGTCTATCTGTTTTAAATTGTGCTCTATAAATAAATATGACTTGACTTGACTTATGGCTTTTAATTTTTTATTTTTTATTTTTTGCGTGGCCTTGAAGCTCCATTGTATGTTTGCTTAATGAAAACACAACCAGCTTAAGCAACTGCTCACCAGCTGACAGTGCAGACATCCAATGTCCCGAGCTAGACACTCATATTCTGTACAGCTAACAGCGTGGCCCACTCTCCTCCTGCTGAGTCGATTGTTATCTGAGCTGACAGTTCTGGGCAGGAGGGCCCAGCTGGTGCCGGCATCATGAGACAGATGTTACGTAACCTCTTGGAACAAACGCCCATCTCTGCTGCAGCCAGGCTGGGACCAGTCCTACAGATGAGCACGTTTCATGCTGGGTTTTTCCCCGTCGCTGACTCTGTTGACTTCATTCACAAACCTGAAAACTCAGTGTTTGTCAACATGTGCCAACGTTCCTCTCTCAGCCATATTTGAACTGTTTTGTATGATCCTAGTTGCACGACTTTCTTAGAATGCCTTCTGAATTGTGTATCACAAGGAAGAACGGTGTGTGACAAAACTGGTATGTAAGTGTGTGAGTGTGGGAGTGTGGGGGTGGGTGGGGGTGAGTGTGTGAGACTAGACAAGCTTAGAGGATTTTTTTTTTAATTTATTTGTTTGTAAATATGTTTTTGATATTGTATTGTATAATTCTGTAAAGGAAAATGTGTACATAAGATTTTAGATAAATTGTTGACAGGCATATTAATTTATTTGTATAAAAGAAAACACTGTTACCCCACCCCCTCACCCCCCACATCCCCAATTGTAAGAAATCAGTTCTTCACCACAGTGGTTTGTTTGGATTGTGTTTTTTCTTGCTGTGCATCCTTTAATGTGTGTAACTTTTTGTAAACCTTCAAACACTGAAATCCTAATTTCCCCCCCAAAAAACAGTATCTGTAAATCTTGTCCCAATCTCAGTCTCAAATGAGATTTTATTTATTAGTGCCTTTGTTTCCATTTTTATTTTTACTTTGTGCTTTTTTTAAAATGTATTTATAAAACACAGATCAGCAAACGTCATTCATGCAACAAAGAACTGACAAAACAAGCTGAACATTTTGATTTTGTGTATTTTTGAATATTTTTATTTATTGATATATAAAAAATTGGTTAAAATTTCTCAGACTGTGTCTTTTGATTTTCTTCTAAAGTTCATCAAGACAAAGAACTGAAAAGAAATGCTTTGGTGTCATTACTAATAAGTTATATATTTATACATGTGGAGGAGTTCAAGCATCTCAGAGTTTTTTGTTCATGAGTGAGGGAAGACTGGAGCGTGAGATTGACAGGCCTATTGGTGCAGCATATGCAGTATTGCGGACTCTGTA